AATTAATGCAGTATAGTTTAAGATTTTGATTAGCTTATGGGAAGGTGGAAGGAGTTAGAGCAAGCACATATACAGAGAAGGGTGCAGGGTGAGCAATTCTTAGCATCTCTCAACGTCACTGTGAACGGTGAAGGAAACAAGAGATTAAATTAGAGAGTGGTGGTGGCGGGGTTTTGTGGATTTGTTTTATTATTACTGGCAGTGTAGTTGGTGATGCGTCTATCAGTCCACGTGCATCTGACATGTTTGACTACCCAACATGCAAGGATTGATATTTTATAGGTTTTTTTTTGTCTTATGTTTAGTTTAAATTGTAATAAATATATTATTAAATTAATTTTAATTTAATTAATTAATTAAAATTATTTGCATATCAATGATATTAAAATATATATTGATTTTTATAATTTTTTTATATAAATTAATTATAAAAAATATTTATTATACTCTTAACTTTTTTTTAGAGTATAAATTACATAAATTTATATTTTCTCTACACCTAAAAGATTAATATAGGTTCATAATTTTTTTAAATTTTTATATGTTATTAAATAAATAAATAAAAATAATATTTTGAGTTTTAGTAAAATAAAAAAATATGATCAAATGATATATAAAATTATATAAAACTTATGTAAAAAAATTATCTCAAAATTATTTTTTTATTTAAAATTTTAAGTTAGGGTTTATAAAACCATTCAAAAATCAAATCAGAGATTTTTTTAATTTAAAAATCAAATCAAAAATTCATATAATATTTTAGAGAGCAAATTAAGAGTTTAACCAAAGTGAAAAGATAAATTAAAGAAATCTTAATTTGCACAAAATGATAAATAAATAGGAAGAAAATATTTATCTCTAAAATGTCTGATATAATGGAATAGAGGGAATAATTAATTAAATTTAAATTAATATTTATTTTTTTTATAAAAATTAATTATAAAAATTATATTTATTATATTTTTATCTTCGTACAAATAAAAAACCCAAGGAATGAATAGAGCCAGGACGTGCAAAAGTAACGATTGGCCTGATTGAGAATGGAGACCCAGTCATTAATTACCCTTTTTATTAAATGTACTAGTACGGTGGTACCAGCACGTTAACATGTTGGAACTCTTCCCCTGAGTTTAAAACTTTTTTTTATACTAAAACAAAGTTACTTCAACTACTAAAACGACTTTGAATTCAATATTATTAGTATATGAAATGAATTTACTTTTTAAATTTAATAATTTGTTTTTAAATTTTAATATTTAAATAAAATTAGTTAAGAGTTCAAATTTCAGCGACTATTTAAATATTTACATGTGATCTATCGATTATACATGCTTCTTTTAATCCATAAACTCTGCTGTTCCCATTCTCATTCTTCTAAAATTGTCCCTGTTAAAAAAAAAAAAAAAAAACAAAGCCCCTGTTTACACCCTCTCTTTATTTTTTTTTTTTGTGGTCAATACATTTCAGAATTTTTTCTCTCTATTCACACCCTCCACTTTTTAAAATCCGTGAAAAACTCAATATTTTAACGGACTGTCACGGTCCCGTTAAAAAATATATTATGTGGCACCCAAAAATTGACGTGGCACTATGTAATGTTAGTAATTCAACGTGGACGCCACGTATACAGTATGCAACCATGTTTCAATTTGGTTTATCTCTTTTTTGACTCAACATAAACATGATGAATAAGTTGATTCAAAACCCCAAATGTTAAAGTATGCAACCATGTTTAAACGGAAGATTATGAGGTGCACGTATACCCTTTCTCACTTCTAACCGAATCTTCGAACTTCGATCTTTGCGCAAATCTGTTTTAAGTGACTTGTCCCACCTTATAATTTGAATGAGTGGCGACTCCCTTTTCTTTTATATTTTTACACTTAATGATTGTCAATTTATTTTGAAAAAAATCTTAAGTGGTCGTCAACAGAAAGCATCAAAGCTTCTCCATTATGCAGTTGAGGGTTTTCCCTCTTTTTCT